GCATTAGGTTTATTTTTTCTAGCTTCAATAGTTTAGGCAGTGGAGGGGGACTACCTTAGTATAACACTGTAAATACAAAATATTTGAAAAATCCTAAATAAATAAAAAGATACAGGGTATGGTTTCAGCACCTTTTTCCCCAGTGAAAGCTGCATGTTGGGCATTGGGCTCCAACACAAAATCAAAAGTCTACCACAGGGTTGGTCATGACTGTAAGAAATTAAGCTAATCATAAGCCAAACAAGAAGAGAGGGCTACACACCCTTGCATTGTATGCTCTTAAGCACTGAATGCTAAACACTCTCTAAAACTATATTGAAGTTTCACAAACTCCACATCAAAGACTGTTGCCATGGCTATCTGTTTAAACCTCAGATCTCATATACTAATTCTAATTAAAACCTTAACCAAATAGATCAATAATAAAATAGACAAGAAGAAAAGTTGGCCTGGTGAAGCTTGATACCTCAGACATATCACAAAATATATCTAATTACCAAAATAGAAAGATAGAATTCCCAGAAAGGTCTTTGGGTAGGATTTGAGCTATCAAGCAGTTCCACCTGCTGCTTCGAAAAAAAGGCAAGAAAATAAATGTAAACTAGAGTCGGGTGTTTCACAATTTTTACTGGTTATATTCAGGGCTCCTCTGGATCTAATTAACTCTGAAGCAGTCCAAGTCTCTCTCTTACGTCTTAGGCAATCCTTTCAAGCCTACAAGTTTCAGGTCCCTGCCAGATTCTCATCCACATTACAACCAAACAATCTACCTCCCCAACTGCATAAAAGATATATTAAGGTAATAAAATCCTAATAAAACAGCAGGCGGACTGGGACCAAGCCCACAACATTCGTAATACCCGTTTGAACTGTAAAGCCACAGGGCCATCAGATCCCTAAATTGAGGTGGGTGCAATTGGTAGATTTACGAAAAAGGTGGCACCTCATGCACCCCGGACATAACCGGATCCAGGGTAAGCTCGAATAGTCTTACTTTGTTTTAAAATACTCCTAGGCCCAGCCCATGTTCAGGATCTGGGCGTTTCAGACTCGAAATGGAAAACCGGGTAATTTGAGAAAACGTTTACTTCATGGGTCGCATCTTCCGAATGTCCATGGCTTAGTCATGGCAACGCTTCTGATGACACAGATTAATCACAGTATGACTCGTTCGAAACCACAATCTCAAACATGAAACTCAGAGTAGGCTATCACGTTTTGAAAGCCGAGCCCGGCGCGCCCATATTACACCACGTGGGTCACACGCCCCGAGCAGCACCTTTTCTCCAGCCGCGGGCACGGACACCTCTTTCCGTCGGCGCTATTCACGGCAACGTCATTGAATGACATCCCTCTTGGGCGAGCAGCCGCCAGGAGAACATAGCGAACGACGAGGGCGCCGAGCAGCTCGGCCCTAACGACGCCATGGGATGCAGGAGGCCTCAGCAGAGCGCGCAGCTGGGAAAAAAAGGCACGTCCCTGTCATCGCTGGCCATGAGGCTTAAGAAGGTTGCCTTAAAGTCCATTCCCGCCGTTTTCATCTGATCTGACAAATAAAACGTACCAGTAGCGCATTCGATATAACTGGTATTCATGACAGGATAAGTGGCAATCTCTTAGCGAATTTCCGTCAGCTCCAAGACCAGATCATCGGCCGGTGACCGACCTTCACGCGAATCGAAGATCGGAGCGGACTCGCAGGCCCAGCCCTCACTGGCCCAGCCCTCACTGGCCCAGCCTCGCCTCTCGAGTCGGCATTCCGACGGCCGAAACGGTATCCCTTCGATCCCCCCAAAATTATAGTTCCTCGCGATTCGTTCCATCGATGATCCTCTTGTGATCTCCATTCCGACGGTCTGTCGGTAAAGAGGATCTCCTTCGAACGGTGCTCAAGAAATCATTTCGAGTGCATATCGCTGCCCAACTATTTTTTTTTGCTTAAAACTTGGGAAACGACCCCCCACGCGGCACAATGGCAATGGGCCATAGGGTCACCTTCTCAGGAATATCGCATCTAACGTTCCGTTCCCCAGGTGGCCCGGAAGTGAAGGGCCGACGGCGGCAAGTGGCACATGCGGATGTCCCCAAAACGTGCTTCATGATATTAATGCAGTACCGAGAGTCCACAATAGATGGCAGCCATGTTCCCCTGCAGCCAAAGAATCCAATTAACTGCTTTCCGTATGGAGAATGTTTCCTTCATCCTTTCTTCTTATTATGCAATTTAGGAACGGGTAGAGGCATGAACCAGGAAAATAAAACATGAATACGTGACACCAACCTCGAAACACGAACCGTGTGTAGAATTTAAAATGAGAATTTGGCCTCTCGATCCTTTAAAATGTCGAGTAAGTTAACGGATCGTAATTTGGCCCTCTCCAAAGGCCAAAACTCGACGGTGAAATCGGACAGACGGACCCCCGAGTATAAAAAATTAAGGCGCTTCACGCGTAAACTTCGATTTAACGCTTTGTGGACCCCACCCACCGAGATCGGACAGCCACCTGCAGGTGGGTGACTCGGTACCGGCGATGAATCGTGACGTCACCTGTTTCGCATCCAGGATGGCCGCATGCATCGAACGCGAGAGGTGAACGCACCAAATAATTAATTCGGTCGAGAAAAACTGCCTTTCACAACGCGCGAGACGCGAGGACCGTATTCCGTCGCAACAGGCAGGAGAAATGGACGAAGCGAAGGAGACCGACGAAGTAATGAGGATTACCCGATTCGTCCCGGTGGACCCAAGCCGGATCGGTTTTTGGATACTGTTAGGCAATCGGGTGCAGCAGATGATCTCGTTTCTTGTGGGGCGGTAATTGGAAGTCGGTACGAGCACCAGAATAAAATATTGGAAATGGTGTTAAGGGTTCTCGCGTCTCCCAAACCTCTTCCCCCTTCCTTGGTGAAATCCTACGGTTGCATCTCGTCCAAGTATTAAAAACACTCTGGCGTACTTGATGCATCCTCGGTTCGTAATCCACAGTAACACAATTAATTTTTCAATGCACGTTTATTGAATTTTTATGCGTTCGATTCCATTCACATGAGAGGCCACGAGGACAAACGAGAGAGAGAGAGAGAGAGAGAGAAATCCCTATACACAGGTGCCACGAGCACTGAATTCCCAGCCATAATCATTCCTGCCGTAGGGATTGGGCGGCTTCCGACACGTCATCCTCCTCCTGCCGCATCGGCCGAGCATGTTCCAGGGTCCTCCGCACGGCTCCTGCAGCTCCGCTCGTCCCGTCGATCCTCCACGGAGTCACAAGTCGGGAATCGTGGGATCGTAAGGTGGGGATTATATTCCAGTCGAGACTGTTCGATGCTTGCCTGCCGATCTGATGGAATACCGTAATGCCATCGATATACCATGAAATCTGGTCCAAACGACCCACTGCGTGTCTCCCTGGGTCACTCGAACAAGATCTTGCGATCGAGAATGACTTCGCCATTAGAGAGTTTTAGGTTAACAGGTGAGTTCCAAACAGTCTAAAATGGAAATAATCCAAAACCCGTGGGTCATTTAACGAAGCGGTTCCGTTTCGGTCCATTTCACTCAACATTTTCGCGTCGACGTAACGCGAGTGAAACATCGATGGATGCCCATCGGGTCGTTCTTTCTTAGAGCAGACTATTAGCCTGCTTCCAAAGATATCAGGACTTAACTGTAGCGAATGTCGTGCCGCGACATCTACACGACACTGTCGCAAACTCCACCCATGCCCGCCCGATCCCTTCTGTCGGTGCTGCTCCCGTCTCGGTCATTCCGTCTTGCCGGAAACGGCAAGGCCTAACGTTAAGCCACTCGGCGGCCTCGGGGCAACCCGAGCCTACGAGCGAGACCCTATTCGTGGTGTCTCACCCGGAAGCATTACCTCCTCCACCGCAAGTCGTTAAGAAACGCAGTTTGAGCCATACCCGTGACTTCAAATTCAACTTTGTGCGGGTGAACTCCTCCCGAACCGCAAATACCATCGAACGAACTCGCGTAGGTCGTCTTCGTCCCGAGGGGTCCTAAGGCCTAGAGCTAAAACGGTTCACGTCATCGCCGCACGCATCGAACGTGACACGCGCACGCACAAAATAATCCAGTCGATAGAAAACGTTCCTAAAAAAAACGGCACTCGGACCCCTCCCGTCTTCCGTCGCAGAAGAAAGAGGGGAAAGGGGGGAAAGGGAAGGCAGTAGCCTCGGATCGAAAGCCATTCCGCGGTTTTCATCCTTCTGGTCGATCGCGTGACGCGAATCGCGATTGGCGTACGCGGCGACGAGGACCTCCGTCGTCCTCGTTCCGCGATCGGCCCGCTCGCAGCCGAGACCCATTCGGACTTTCAGGGGAAGGAATCCTCTCGAAGGCTAACTCCTGTTGCTAGGGGGGGGGGGGGGGAAGGAGTCGAGGTCGAGGTCCCTTCCATCAGAATATTCCAGGCCCAATATCAGATGTGACTTGTTCATTGCTCACGTCTGCATTTTTTCCTGGAAACGACGGGATGTTCGGGTTCGAGAACTTTCGATCGAAGTGTTTTGCTTTCAACCGTAATCAGAGAGCTTTCGGTTAAATTTAGCACTTCGAGCTCTCTCTTCTTTTTTTTTCGTAGGCAAAAGCCAGGTCCCTTCGAAGCCAGACCTCACAGAAACGAGGCTGGCCACTCCACTAACGCTGCCGGGACCGTTTCTAGGAGCGGGCGATCGCCCTGAGCGCCGCGGAAAGAAACACAATAATGAAAGAGGGATTTTTTTTTAATGCGGTTAGCGTCCACTTTATGCGAACTAGTACTAACCGGGACGATAGAAAAATTAAAATTATGAATGACATTTCATGTCATGCCGTGCAGCTTCCTACCAGCGCACCGTCATAATCGGGCAGAAGTCCCCCTTGCCCCCCCCCCCCCCCCCCCCCCCTCCTTCCCCCTCCTTGGTGAAATCCTGCGTCTGTATCTTGTCCACGTATTTAAAATACTCTGGTGTTCTCGAGTATATCCTCAGTTCGTAACATTCCGTGACTAAATTACATTTTCAATGCACGAAGTTTTATTGAATTGTTATGCTTTTAGATTCGATTCAGGCCACGAAGCTAAGAAAGAGCGAGAGAGAGAGAGAGAGAGAGAGAGAGAGACAGAGAGAGACAAGAAAAATCACTGCACACAGGTACCACGAGCATTGAAATTCCAGGTATAATCATCAGTGCCAAAGGGACCGGGCACCTTCCGACACGTCATCGTCCCTCCGCACCGTCCAAACACGTTCCAGGGTCCTCCGCACCCCTCGCCCAGGTCCTAAAGGAATTCAGTCATGCAGCTCCGCTCGTCCCGTGGATTTTCCACGTCGTCATGCCATCTCTATGCCGTGAAATCTTTTCCAACGACCCACGGTGACCCGATGTGACCTAACGTGCGTCGCCCTGGGTCACTCGCGAGATCTTGCGATCGAGAAGGAATTTGTCATTAGAGAGTTTTAGGCCAGCGAGTGGCTTTCAAACAGTCTCGAATGGAAACAATCCATGCAGAATAATCTCTTTTTTTGTTACACTTGTTACACTCCGTTCTTACGATCGACAGGGTATGGCAAAAAAAAAGACTGAAGACTTTTAACCTATGTCTCTCGCTGGAGCTATTTTTGCAATATTTGATCTGTGAATATATTAACTTGTTCCCAACAGACCAGAATTTCCATCCGAAATCTTTCCCCAAAACAAAACCGAACAAGCATTGAAAAAATAAAAGTGAAAATGTAAAATGGACGGGGGAACTGGAGCCCCCATCGACAGCTTACACTTCTCCGAGGTGAAGCAAGGTCAAATCTCGAGAAACGAGCAAATTCTAGTCGTTGATACTTATTCGTTTGATCGCCTTGCCTCAGACGAATGAATTCTCAATTTCGAGTACATGTATAGGAAACATTCCTCCGTGCAAAGTTAAAGGAAAAAAAAAATGGAGTGGGAAACGGGTCCTTACTTTGAAGCAAGCGGGGCAACACCCGCAGGCGTCAGTCGTCACGCCGGCCGTGCATTTCGACTCGTCGAAGTCCGCCGAGCACGCTGCCCTGTCGCACCGGGGGCACGACAGCCCTTCCCCTCTGGATGGAATGCGAGAACGACCGGTCTCAGATTCATCGAGCACGATCCCGTTCGTGCCAACATCGAGCAAAGGTTGCTTTTTCATCGTAACAACGTTGCCTCGATGTTGAAACGCGGTCGAAATGAAACGCAGTTCAACGTTGAAGAGTTGCTGCCGAGTGGCGTCGTGCCGACGACGAATCCTCGACGCTTGGGCATTGCAATAACTCCATTTATCGAGTCTGAACGAACGCTGATATCGATCAGAAGACGAGATTTTACGTGCATTAAATTGATGGTCGTACTCTGTTAAGTACTGTCATCCCACGAAGTGCTCCCTCCGGAAGACCCATGTGGCACGACAGTACTCAATCGAGTACCCAAGAGGAGCCCCCGAGGTTGTATTTCCTTTACTGGATCAGAATTCGAGTCGAGCACGCAACAAAAAGGAAACCCATATGATCAGGGAGAGGAGGCAGTCACATCAAAGCATGTTTCCTCGGACCCCCTGACCAAGTGACACCCTGGCCAGTTACAAAAAAATTTTTTTATGAGTTCCCGAAATTTTGACTCCTTGGGGGTCTATAGCAGTGAATCGGCCAAATCTGCACTAAATAAGGTACCGCGGGGGGGGGTGTCGAATTTTGAAACGTCACCCAGTCTATGACCATCTCCGGACCAATTGAGAAAGCCATACATAAAGGACAGACACAAATACACACTTAGAAATATAAGTAGTATAGATAAATAGATTATGAACGGAACGAGCAACAAACTCTTGAACGAAGAGGAGAAAAGCGAGAACGACCAAGACCAGGAGTTTCATCTTCTCTTCCCGAATCCACACTAACGATCCGAGAGACGAAAGCTTCCCCTCTGGAAGGCTTCCCCTCTCGAAAGCTTCCCCCCTCGAAAGGAAGCGGATGCGACTCGCGATTGCACTGGACGCTTTTCCAGGCGATTTCGGAGTCGTTTCCGCCGAGACCCAAGGGCGTGAGACCGGGGATCCCGAGTTTCCGAGGGCGAGGCGATAAACGAGTCGCGGAACGCGACGGTTGCGACATCGGTCGCCGAAAAAAATAAGTCTCCGTGTCTGACGGCTGGCGACTCCACGGGGTCCAGAATACATTTTGCAAAAGGGATTATTTTGGGGACTTTTAACCCTTTCAGACCTGAATTAAGGCCGCTGCCGGAATAATATACTTTTTTGTATTTTTTGCTATTTTGCTATTCTACTTGAACTTTTATGTGTTCTACATATCGTTTTCATATTTTGTATAAATTTACCATATCATACCATATATTATATATTATACATTTCATGACATAACTGAAGATGATAAAACTGTTGGGTGAGAGAAGGCCTCCGATTGAATCTCGCCATGCATAATCTCGCCCATCGTAGAGTAAAATAGGGCGCAAAGTCACGAAAATCCAAAGAAATTACCATAGACACAATGAAAATGGCGACGTCCATTGGAATGGACGCTGGGTCTGAAAGGGTTAATCCACCGAGAGCTCTCGGACGAAAGCCGCGTCCCGTGCAAACTCGATCCGAAGTTCCCGATTTTCTCGGCGTCTTGCGCTTCAACGGACTTCGCGCTGACACGAATGGCCTAGGGTGGTCCATTACCTTTTTTGGCCCATTACCTTTCTTCAACTCCTTCCCTCCACAAGATTCAACCTCCTCGTTTTTCTCTCTCTGAGAGTATCAACAGAAACGATATTTGGCATGCTTCTTCCTCTCAACACAGAATCGCTCCAGCAAATTTGAAGCTCCACCTCCTCGGGGTTCTGGAGATCACCGAATCTCTTCTTTTTTTATGTGAATTTCTTTCCATTTCCTTCCCCCCACCCGGGGAGGCTTTCGGAGGAAAGGGACAAACCATGAGAAAGATATTGACTCGTAGATGTCTAAAAGTACCCTTTTTGTTGCACATGATGCACCATTTCGCCATTTAAAAAAAAAAATTAAATTCGAGCCGTTCAATTAAGCTTCGAGCGCTAGCTCCGATCCCGTCCTCCAGTGTTGCCGGATACCGTGCCGCAATTATGCCAGATTCAAGACTACTTCAACCTTCGTATCGGAGTCTGGATCTATTGTTTTTAATGCATGATACCTTTTTCGTGCTGAGTTCATGAGTTGAGCTGAGAATGGAACAGTGGTCAGCAGTGATTGATAAATTAGATGGGAAATGGAGATATCTCATCCGGACATCCCTGAATTCCCAAGATGGCGCGCGGTGGATGTCATGTTTCCTGGAGGCATTAAAAACTCAGACCTTTTCGAGATGGTTCGAGGCACTCTGGGTAGGCCTAATGTTCCACATCTCCACTGAAATGGTTCATGAAACGCGGAACAGGCCTCAACAGGGGTTGAAGAAAGGGAAAGTCATTGAAAATTGGTTTTCACATTATTTCATCTAATTTTCCCAGAGACTTGCTTGAAAGAGGAACGATTGGGCTTTCAAGTGATTTCAAACATCTTCAGCCTCAGAAATTATGAATATCACACGAACAGTTCATTTGAACAGTCAACAAAAACGGTTCTTTTTTGTAGCAGTGTGGATGTTGTTCGAAACGTGGGTGCACCATTTTCAAGCTTATTACTTCCTTATTACTTGTTGCAAAATGCACCAAAATCTATGCAGTGAGCGTAATGGACCCAGGAAAATTTTCGGAATCCGAGAACTCAGATCGTTTTCTTGCGGTAGGGGAGGGTGTAACCGAGGCGAAACCGTTCCGGTGCTCCAGCTGGAAACATCAATTCTCGAACTCGATCATTTTTCTAATCGTGAATATTTATTTCATTTTACAGCTTCCGATCCAGAGAGGAGTTGAAGAAGACATCACTCGACACAGACACCTTCAGAATTGAAATCAAAAATGGACTTCGAACACGTGAGTCCCTTGCCGCAGCGTCCATACACGTTCCAGGGTCCTCCGCATCTCTCGCCCAGGTCCTAAGGGGCGGGGCGGGGCGGGGTTCAGATGGGCCGAGCGACGGTGCAGGGTGTCACAGAAGTGAGGAATCGTGGGATCATGGGATATGGATTAATTCCTGTAGAGATTGTTAGGAACTCACCAGCCAGATGGGATACCGATTCCAAAGTTGCCCAAGCAGCAAAATCCGGTCCGAGTGACTCAAAGTGACCCAAATCGACCCAAATCGACTCATTCATCCAACTCGAGCTTAATAAATCGAAGAAAATCTGGGGCGAGTGGGTGAGTCGGTTTTGGGTGACTCTGGGTCACTTGGCCCAGATTTTGTGGCTGGGATCATTTTGAGAAACGAGTATCGCATCAAGCAGGCGGTTGAGTTTTAAACAGTCGAGAAATTAAATAATCCATACTCGATCATCCCATTATTTCTCACTTTTTTTCCCACCCCGTATGCAGGCAAAAAAAAAAGGACTAAGGACGAAATATATCTGCTCTCGTTGTACCCATTTTCGCAGACCTTGCACTCCGCTCACATTAATTTTTTTTTCCAACAGGCTTTTGAAATTCCATCCGAATTCCTTTAGTCAAAGAAGTACCGAGCAAAAATATCGAAAGAAAATCGGAAATTGGAAATGGACGGGGGAACCGCCTGCCTCCTTCACCGATGTAAACTACGTTTATTTTAACAAGGTTTTAGTTTTGCTTGGCAAATCTTGAGCAATCATATTACGCGAAGACGGTCTTTTTCTTATGTTTTTACAAGAAACTCCACGATAAGGCCAAAAAGAGGAACTACGATGCAATCGAGAGCGAATCCCGCATATATACGCGACAACCGCTTAAGGGTCTAAAAAAAAAAAGTTCATGGAAACGCTGCAGGAGAATTCGCGCAGTCCACTCCATCGCCAGCCAATTTAAAAATCGACTTGCTTCGAATAGTTCCTCACATAGCCTCGTCTCGGAGAAATGAATTTCGCCAAAACTTCGAAGATACCAGAAATGTTGGAAACATATTTTTCTACAAAAGTAAAAAAAAAAAAAAATTCCTCAATGAACGAGGAGATACAGAGGTAATAAATCCTCGACCCGTTTCGTCACACCCCATACATCGCTACGAGAGACACCTATCGAGACATTTCCCCGAGACACTGACCTTGAAGCACCTGGGGCAGCACCCGCAGGCGTCGGTGCTCACGCCAGCACCGCACGTCGACTCGTCCAAGACGGGGCACTCCTCTCTGTTGCATTCGGGGCACGTTAACCCTTCCCCTCTGGATGGAATGGGAGAAAGACCGGTTTTAGATACATCAGCTTGGATCGTGGGAATTTAACTCCCATCCGGAATGGAAACCGAAGGGACAGCTTAATTCTGTCCATCGAGCAGAGACCTGCGCTTGTATATTCCCACGAGGAATTTCGAGTGGTTTTTTTTTCGAGATGGCATGCAAACGGAAAAGGATTAGAATATGATGATGTTTTGTGAACGGAACGAGCGACTCACTCTTTGGCGAAGAGGAGAAATGCGAGGACGACCAAGACCAGGAGTTTCATCTTCTCTTCCCGAATCCACACTCACGAGCCGACGGATGATTCTTCGAGAACGGGTTCGACGTGATATAGCGTCGGCGGATCGGCCGGCCGTTTTATGAAGCGATTCGAGGTCATCTCTCAGTCTCTCGCGTCCTCGGCAGGAAGCGCAACTTCCTGTTTCGGCGTCTAACGCGGACAAGGGGAGCAGGTCTCGGAACCGAAGGGATTCCAGTCGAGGCTGTCTCCGGGCATTCTCTACCGCGGATTTTATCGCGCGAGGTCGACGCGTTTCGACACCGAAGGCCGTGCGTGAAAGTGTCGTAGAAGGTTCCGAGAGTCCGAGTCTCGGGAGAAAAAGATATTCTTATCTCTTGTATTTGCGCATTTCTTGTGCTTCTGGGAGACGAAGGTTGGAATGGGGGCGATTTTCCACCGAAAACATCAGAACGCGAAAGGAACGCTGAGAAATGTGGAATGGTGGCATTCCAACTCGGGTCAAACTGGTAAATTAAAATATATATATATATATTAAAAAAGGGAATATTATAAACCACAGGTTCACTCACGAAACCACTCCTGAGAACGTCAACTCGTCACTTTCTACCTTTTTCATACTGGTAAATAGGTAAAGAAGAGGTTTATAATCAGTGTTGGGCGCGTTACTTGTGAAAAGTAACTAGTTACAATTACAAGTATTTCATCCCAAAAGTAATTAGTTACCAGTAAAATTACTTCTCACCAAAAGTAACTAGTTACAAGTAGAAGTTACTT